ATCTGCACAGCGAAAAACAAGTTGTTAGGCTCCTTTGGAGGACTTGGCAAAGAAGTGAGGAGCCTTCATGTGAATGAGCTGCTGCTAGCAGAGGAGTCTGAAATGAGGTTCTTAGAAATGCACTTTTCTCAAGGTAGGAACCTTCATCCGTCAAGTGCATGCGCTCAAGCGCAGGGCACCCTGTGCTGCAGGGTGCTCTGAGCTGTAGGTGAATGCTGCTAAATGTTCAGTTTGCTGCTCAATGCCATTTTTCTGAACTAATAATGGTGGTAAAAATCGTGTGGTTGAAGCTGCTGTGGACTGAGGGGTTTTGCTGAATTGCAGCCTGCAATGGCTACAGTCAGCAGCCAGGTCTGTGTTAGACCTTGTGGGGTGTGTGGGGAAGGGCGTCCTCTCCTCCCACTGCCAAAAATTTGGATTTGCCCCCACAGAACTGCCCTGACAGGCGTGTTTGTCAGTGCAGCTTGTTTTGCTTTGGTGGCAGGAAGAGGGAGGGGAAAGGCAGCCTTTTGACTTGCACAAAAGGAGGTTTGTGGGTATGGCTGCATCCACAGAAATGCTTTGCTCGTGCGGCCCAGCAGCAATCTCATCCCGCACAGCTGACCTCCCCGGGGCTGAAACCTGGGCTCCTTTTGCACAGCTCCCTCCTGGGTGTGCAAAAATTACTGATACCTGCAAAAAGTGCCTGAATTCTCCTTCTCTATTTATGTTTTTTTAATAACTTCAGCCTTTAATCTAAAGGTAAACATCTGTCCTACGGCATGGAAAGAGTGGTGGTTGCCTCTCAGTCTGGGATAGAAGTGGGCAGGTAGTTGACTGTGCAGCTTCTGGAGGTTGGAACAAGTGGAACGCTGGTGCTTCTGCTGCTTGAACGTCTGCTTGAAGCACAGCAGGAGCCAGCAGGCCCAGAACTGCTCCTCGGGGAGTTTCACAGCAATCATTGTTGCCTGGCCTACAGCTATTTTATAACAAATGAGCGCTTAGGAAACTTCTGCAAAAAACTTTGGATTTAAGTCTGTTACTTACGACCCCTTTAGCACATGTACCTCAAGCCGAGCCATGAGTGTTAAAAATAAAATATTTTGTYGCTACCTTTATATGTTTGAATGTCACCATATTTTTTTGAGCTTCGATTTGATGGACGGGTATGGAAGGCATTTTCTTGCTTTCTGATGTGCTTCAGCGTCTGATCTATGATTTGATTTGCAGTGGGGCAATCTCTTAGCACTAAGAAGTGTTTCCCAGTTCAAGTGCATGATTCCCAGTGGCGCAGAGCGAGTGTACTCACATGCAGTGCTCCTTGCCCGCCCTTCAGGCTGCATCGTTGGGAGGAAGAGTTGCTGCTGCTTCATCAGCTCACCGCATCACCTTGGAGTTGTGGGAGCACGTCTTGGCATGGATCCAGCCCACAAATCTGGGGAAAAAAATAACCGTAACAGGATCCTTTGTGTGGCTGCCAAAGCTCTGCAGAGCACCAGCAGATAAGGCTTGCAGAAATCTGAATACTTTCTGTTAGGAGWTGTGTTTGCTCTCTTTCTATAATTTTGGCATTTATGGGGAATGGGAAAGAAGCTCAATTGGAAATATGACAGTGGTATAATCTGGGGAGTAGAGTTTTTCTCCTTTTCTTTCCCTCCCTACCACCTCTTCCCCCCTCAAAGCAAGCAGAACCAAGAGTTCTGTGTGGCTGCAAATTAGTTTTGTCTGGTTTGATGAGGAAGATGAGACGCACAGACTTGGTGAGTAGGGTAGAGAGGGCAATTTGGGTGGATTTTATCTGCTTATGGGAAATAAGGATACCTAAAATTCAGGATATGGTCACAAATTCCAACTGGGAAAAGAAAAAAGCTTCCCACAGAAGGCACATTCTGGAGCTCAGCTATAAAATACAATTGAAGCTAAGGGCTCTGGGGCCTTGACAATGTACTCTTTTTTTGGAGGCTGATGGGAACATTAAGCAGGACGGGCAGGAGATAAAATCTTCCTGTCCATAAGGAAAAAGTGGCAGCTTCTTTTTGGGCCGAGGCACAATCTCATGTTTGCTGTTGCGTAAATGGTCCAACCTCCCGCCTGCCCCTGAAGCTGCTATGGGAGAAGAGGGAAGTGGCTGGATCTCATGTGCCGGAGTGCTTCCAAAGGATAGCAAACATGGGATAAGTAAACAAACCCTCCTCCCTGCAGCCTGCTCGCTCGCTCTCGGCTGCATCTGCGCTCAGGAGCTGCAGGTTGCGGGTTTGTTTGCAGCGAAAGCAGATGTGAACACAACAGCCCGCTCCTCCAGTGCCTCCTTTGTTTGCTCCAGAACAAAGCGCTGATTCTCCGCAAAGAGAAACTTTTTCCCTAACACATGTCTGGAAGGCGGACGGAGACGGAGCTGCTGTCTCGGGGGATCCCATCGCGGCTTTCTAGTGAGATCAAGTTGTTCTCACATGGCCCCATATGTGCTCAAGGTGAAAACAGGAGGAGACATAAATAATACTTGGGGTATGAGCTCATCATTTGGTCAAAGGCATGGCATATCTCCTTCGGTGGAGGAAGAAGGAAACCTGGCACCAATCTAAAATGTCTSCTTGCCAATGCCTTAATGCAGTCAAGATTTATATTGTCTGCTAGGTCATGCACTCAGCAGCCATTCAGATCCACCCACACCCCAAAACGCGGAGCCGTGAGTGGGTGAGAAATTCCAGAAGCGGATCAGCCAACACGAACATTGCGTTAGAGAGAAGTTGATTAAGCAGATTGCTGTATTTTTTTCTTAAATCAAAAAGAATTGAAGAACAGAAGTGGGATCCAGGTTGCACCCTGGAATTTCATCTGATAAAGCAATGCAGGCAAAACAATAAGAAAAGGGAGGCTTCTAAAGGGAGGAAGTTGTAACCCCCCCTCCCTCCTGGGGCCATCTGCGTTCCTTCCCTGGGAACCAAGAACAGGAGTAGCCGTCGGAGGAGATTTCACTCTGTTCAACCTCCGGAGATGCAAGAGAGGACAATTTATCAAGTCTCATCTTAGGCACTTAATCTTTTGGAGGTTAAAAAGAGGCAGCTGGATCTCCGGTATGTTTGATATTATCACCTACAGCATTAAATCCAGGCTAACTTAACAAACTATTTTATCTGCTTCCCACTCGTCAAGCAAAATGCGATGTACTCAGTAGGTATCTCGGTGTTAAATCTCGAGACTTACGTGCTTTTAGCATGACAGAGCAGCCTTGCAGGTCAAACACTGTTCATGTGCACAGCTAGGGAGTTTTCAACGGGATATTTGTGCTGAGTGCTTGTTCCCGGTCGGTGGCGTGGGGCCAGGTCGGGCTGATGCCTGTCAGGAATGACACGGAATGACGCCTGTCAGGAATGACGTGGATGTGGCTGGCCCCACAAGAGGGTCACCTCRACCTTGATCTTGCAATTCCATTCTTGCTTTTTTAATGGTATTATAAACAYTTTAACTACAAGCCGACAAGTAGGTTCTTAGGGTAGGATGTGACTTGGTTGCGAATGCTAATCCTGATGGTGCCGAGTTTCACCCATCCATCCATCTTTCTCCAACAGCCTCGCAGTGGTAGATAATCATAACCTCTTACTGTTAGGTGGGCAGGYAATGCCTATAAAAGCCTGGAACACTGGTTAAAACAAAGCCACGGAGCTGATCAGTAGCAGAGGCGAGAGCAGAGTCTAATTTCCTTGCTCTGGCAGTCCAACCATCAGAGGATTCAGTTACTGGAGGGAGCACCAGGCAGGGACAGAGTCACRCGCTGAGAAAAGAAGAGCGCCCATTTTTCTGCCGTTGCTCCATAAAAAAGGAAAGCGTAAAGGCCAGTGCGTGGGTGTTGGTGAATGGCATTGTCAGGATTTATTAGTGTCCGATGAGGGTGGCTGGCGCATCCCGGTGCCGCTGCGAACGCCGCTGGAATCTCCAGCTGTGCAGCCCAAGCTCCCACCTGGAAACACTCCCTGCGACTGCCTGTTCGCATCCCTGCGGCAACATCGCTGCCCATCCAAGGTCCTGAGGGCTCCGTGTGGGAATTCGAAGCTCTGGATCCCCATCCTGGGAGAGCTGCATGTGCAGAACAGCACAGGAGAGCACAGAGAAGGGTGCAAGCAGCAGTGCTTGCACTTGCAACATCCTGGGAAAACAGGAGCCTTTGCTTCCCAGAGCTCTGCCAGGTATCCCTTGGCTCCGTATTCCGGCACTGATTTTCACTCCACATGCATCACTTTCCTTCACATCCCTACCCTTGTGTGAAGAGGCAGCAACTGAAAAGCAGGAATTACTGCTTATCTTGAATGCCCGGCTAATTATTTCTTGCTTTCTTCCATCTTGCTTTCCTCCGTCTTGCTTTCCTTATCGCTCTGTCTGAGCCAAGGATGGGGATCCTGACAGGGGCCTGGTCTGTGTGAGCGGCACAGGGAAGAGCYGGTTTCCCTGGGCAATTCTCCCACCTCCATTTTCTCAAGGGGGGAAAAGCAGCCCTCTGAAATAAGCTACTGATCCTCCAGCAGACAGGAAAAAATAGGAGGAAATGGCTAAAGCTGACTTGCTGATTGAAAACTATACTTTCCTATTTTTGCTGTTTGAGATTTCAGGTTTAATCCTCGTCTCAGGGCTTGTGTGTGCTGGACACACCGGCATTTCACCCCAGAACACTTCTAGCATCACCTTTTCCAGCTAGCTCAATTCCAGGCTGGCTCCCGGTGTTACAGAGAGGTCAGTGCGGGAGCATTATGGAATTATTTTTGGGAAAATAGATGTGTCGAAGGAGGCCGGGGCGCCTCGCGCAKGAATCGCCTCACGGCGGCGGCGGGCGCACTGCGCATGCGCACGTCACGGCCGCGGCGGGAGGGGGAGCCGCTCTACTGCGCATGCGCCCCGCCGACTCCCCGCCCGCCCCGTCTCGCTGGTGCGCAGGCGCCCTGGGCACCTCCCGCGCCCGCCCGTGCTCGCCGCACGGCGCATGCGCTTCGCCCCCTCCGGCGCGGGGAGGGGGATGCGGACGGGGGAAGATGGCGGCCTCGAACAACCCGCGGAAATTCAGCGAGAAGATCGCGCTGCACAACCAGAAGCAGGCGGAGGAGACGGCGGCCTTCGAGGAGGTCATGAAGGACCTGAGCCTGACCCGCGCGCACCGGGTGAGCCCGCGATGCCGCCGCGCGCCCCCCCACCCCCCGCCTTGCGGAGGAGGCGGGCGGGGGAGGGGCGGCGCCCCCCGCCGCTCCCCTCAGCCCGGGGGCAGCGGCGACGGCGGCGGGGGGGGGCCCGGAGGGGGTAGCGCCCCCTGGCGGGGGCGGCTCGCGCCCTCCGCCCCCACCCGCCGCCGGGCCCGGCCCGCCCGGTTTGCGGAGGGAGGGAGTCTTGAGGGGGGGGGATGTTGGCGAGAGGCCGCCGCATCCTCCCCACAGCGCCTGGATGGGGGGGGGAGGGGGCAGCTTCCCTTTCCTTCCCCCCCCCACCCCCGACGGTTATTCTGTGTGTGGAGGGTAGACCTGGCCCCCCGGTTGTGGAGGGGGTACCAGGTAGACCTGGCCCCCCTGGTTATGGGGCAAGAGGGGGGTAACGGGGTAGACCTGGTCCCTCGGGCTGGCCCTGTTATTGGTGGGGTAGACCTGGTCCCCCAGGGCAGGCCCTGGATTCTGGGGGTGATCCCCAACTCCCCAGGCTGGGGCCTGGTGTGAGGGGTCCCATCTCCCGAGGCAGGTCCCCSCTTCTCCCCTGGGCGATGGCCACCTTAGGTCCTGCCACGCCAAGGCGTTTTGTGTGTGYTGGGCTCTTCCCTTTTGGGTCAGACCCACGTTTTGTGGGGGCCGTCCCAGCCGCAGAGCCGCCCACGTCGGCATCGTGGCCCCCCGTGCCGCAGGGAGCAGCGCGGGGCCCGGACCCCTGCCTGCTGCCGAACCCACGCGGCSCAGGGAGCCCCCGGGGCCCGGGGAGCTGCTCGGGGAGCCGCTGCACTTAGCGTCGCTGATGCCAGTTCCTGTTATGCCCCCCTGGTCACCGGTGCAATTTGCTGCACTCCCAAACCTTTCTTGCCGTACAGCRTCTCTGCAAACCACATCACTAGAAATTAGCAGTGTAATGAAGGCATTTTTCCAGGCGTCAGATGGGCTTGCTGGTTTAGATCTACATGTCAGAGCTTTTCTGTGTGCGTCTTGTTTCACCTGCGCGTGTCAACGTTTTTTTGTTTCTGTTTTAATTGCACAAAGAAAATTTACAAGCTTGTTTGTGGTTGCGTGCTAACAGAAGCGGGCACACGAGAACAGAAGCTTGAATTTGCAGTAAAATTCTTCCTTTTTATTTCTCTGTGTCAGAACAGGGTAAATATTTGATTTGAATTCGTGCTGCTGCTGGTCAGATGCAAAACAAAGGCACGCTGCGGCTCGGGAAGGTGCAGGGTTGAAGCTCTGTTCGTGCTCAACTATTTGTTGCTGTTTCATAGGGGATGCTGCGTGCAGGTACTACAGCAGCTGCAAGCACGATGAGGACCATTCAGTGATCCTTCGCAGCTGCTGCTCCCTCTTGGTCTTGAACCTGCTGTGCTCGTGTGCCTCACATTTTGATGATCAATCCCTTTGGATGATCAATCCCTGGATGCTGCTCCAGAGTCGGATGTTCCTTAGGCAGAGAGTCCTTGAAATCTGCAATTACAGCCTGTTCTTTAATTAACTCTTACTGTTTAGCGTTTGCCTTCTTTGAGGTAAGGGGGTTCAGAAGTCAGAATCCTAATTCAGGTTTGCCCGAGTGCAAGTGTTCCTAATCTAAGTTTGGCAGATAAAACTCTTATTTTCAGGAACCTTGTGTTGAGAAAGGACCCAAGATGAATAAGTTGTTTGAGGATTCTGGGTACTGAAGTGATGGAAATAGTGACCAAATAGCTGAATAAAATGTCTCCTTTGTAGACTTTTTTTTTCTTTTAAATTCCATGATTTCATCTGCCTTCAAAATGCAGTATAAAAGCAAAAGGGGTTAAGCACAACTTCGTTCTCATTCTCATTTGGCAGCCAACACTTTACTGTCGATTTGAAAATGCGTTACTCAGTTTGTGGAAGCAGCCCAAAATTTCTGTTGCCTTTTCATTATTAGCAATTGTCTTTTTGCAGTGTTTACCCTCTCGTCTGACTTATTGTTAGTTACTGATCATAGCAGAGGCAGAGAACTCCTGCTCCACCATTCCTTGTGTACAMACGTTGTTTCTGAGCTTTCCTTTGGGCTTGGTCATCTCCCGCCTATTCATACTGCTCAGTCCATGTGAGATGTTGAAGTTAGGATGCATCCTTCTTGCCCAGTGTGAAGTAGAGCGCAGTATTAATTCTTTTTCTTTCTCTATTGCCTTCACCATACACGCAGAAAATTAATTCTCTTGGAGGCTGGGGGGCTGATAGAAACACTGGATCTGGCTACTCGTCTCACAAGTGGGACCCTTGAGTTTATATTCCAGAGATTTCTGTGAGTGCTCTAGTAACAAAGCAGGTGAAAATAGTTGTGTGGGGTTTTTTTCCTTTTTTTTTTCCCTCAATGGCTTTGACTCCTATATTGTGCTTAAGGGCCTGCTGCTTTCCTTTTCTTTTTAAGGCATGAACTTGTAGAAGAACATTTTCTCGTGCAGGTTTCTGTGTTTCAAGGATGGGTTGTTTACAGGGGCCTGCTCTTCAGCAGAGCCCAGCTACACTTGCTGCTTTGCATGAATTTCCYTATGCAAGGCAATAGATGCCCTTTAAAACCATATTTCACAAAACACTAATATACAGAACAGCACAAATAATGTTGAGTAACCAAATATGGCTCTTCAAATGCTAGAAAATCCAATGTTATAAAGAAATTTGGGCACAGCTTGTGACCTGCCTTTTAAAGGTGAGTCTTACCCTGTTGGAAATGTACTCAGGATTCCAGCTTTCCTTTTATTTTTGCTAAAATCACTTGGTTTTGAGGGATTTGAGCCAGAGCTGTGTTTGAGCTCCCTCTTATGGACTTCACAGTGTAACCTAAGAGAAGTAACCCCCCTCTTCCCAAAAAAGCYCCTGAAACCTCTGAGCCTCAGGTACCTCCTGCTTCCGAACTGTCCGGAGAGCTCTGCTGTTCTGAGTAATCCTGGAGCGTGGAGAGGGAAGGAAGCAAATGGGGAAGCAATAGGAATCTTTGGAGATATTCCACAAAATCCCAGCACTATTTTTACAGCCTTTCCAGGCCCCCCAAGCCCCCAAAAACACATCCCACATGAGAGGTGTTTTGGTGAGCCTTGCTACTCAGAACGGCACTATTAGAGGACCTCTAATAATAAGGTATATTCCTCCTTGTCACACAATTTATTATGTGTTCCAAAGTAAGTAATTCAATGCCTTGTCAATCCACATGATGCTCTGCTGCTTTATTTTACTTCTACCTGCTGCAGAAAACATCCGGATGTCTCTTTGCACATTCACAGATCGTGCAGTTAGATGGAGATACTTTGCAAAACAGTATTTAAAAGCTTAGTTAAATCAGCACTGCTAATCTGTACTTTTAAAAATGATGAATACTAATGATAACAGTGTCGCAATGATTCCTAATGTATTCACAATGTTATTAAATAACTCGATTAAAAAAAAATCATCAGTACGTAGTAGTATTTTTGTATGCCTGAAAGATATTAAAGAAATACATCAAAATCGAGACTRGGCTCTGTGAGCATGGAGGTTAATGCTTGCAACTTGTTCAAGTCAATCGTATTGTGAGTTTCTCCAAAATGGAAATAGGAATTTTGTCTTCCAGCTCTATACAGGTTTTTTTTTTTCTCCCTGTTTTGTTCCTCCCTGGAACGCGAGTTTGTGCCCTGTATTTGCACATTTTCAGGCTAAGAAATAGGTKGCCCTTTGGGCACTGGTGCTGCCTCCTCTGTCACCCCTGTGAGGTCGGTGGCTTTGGCCRCCGCTCTCCCATGGGCTCTTTGTTCTTTGGATCCCCGCGGGCTTAAGGCGAGTAAGCGAACTGAACGTGCTGCAATAAAGGTGCCCTGTCATTAATTCTTTGAAAGAATTATTGTAAATGAGACAGTGAAATGTAAAGATGAACTGCCCACCAGGGCACAAAGAGGCTCTRTTCTCCCTCAGCCCTCTGCTTTCCTTACCTTGTCTGAGCTGTCCAAGGTAAACAGCACAAGGCGACTTTTGATATGCCGGGCTAGAGAATGTGCGTGCTTTATTTAGCAGTGCAATATTTCTTCTTGTAAGCAGACTCAGGTGTGKTTTTTTTATTATTTATTTTGAGGAGACAATGACTTTTTTCATTATTCCACCATAKCCCTGCATTGGARCTGCTTCTGCTAGGAGAGAGAGGCTCTTCCTCACCAGTGGAATCTTCTTCTGGGGGCTGACAAGTTTGTGATCTGTGGGCACAAAAACTGTATGGAAATAYAGCAAAGTTGCACAGTTTACTATTTGTAATTTACAGGAATAAGGTGGAGTTTGATTCAGTTTGCTGCATTTCAAAGATACTTCAGCAGGGGAACATATTTGCAGTGGAGCATGTGTAAACATTACACATTTTGCAAGAGAATACCTTCTCAAAGTTACATATGGTCGGCTCTTCCAGCTGCTGGAGAGGGCTTTTCGAAGTGAATTACTGAGTTAGAAGGGCCGTTTTGTGAAAATTAGCTTTGCTTATGGCTGAAAAGATTAAGATTTGGGATCTGATTTTGTTTTTCATCGTTGCATTTGCAAATTAAACTGCATTTCTGATGTCTCTGATGGCAAAATGTGCAAGTTACGACCCTCCCATAGAAGTTACAACCCTGACAAATGGGTGAAGAGTTCAGTCTGTATTGACGTGTGTTGGCATTAGCAAACAGATAAAAGAACTCTGTATGAGCAGAAGGTTGTGGCAATACACGACCATTCAGCGGGAGCTTTGGAGGATTTTTCAGGAGTACGCTGCATTGGAAACCAGTTGTAGAGCTTATGTGGCCTAGATGCAAACAAGCCAAAACTAGCCTCTCCTCAAGAAGTTCATCCACTGCCTGCACGAGCAGACAGCACAAAAAGCCATTTTCACCTGCATTTAAGCATCTCAATCACACAACTTGTTAATTTTTCCATGCCTTGGACCTTCCAGGTAGTGCAAGCTTGGCTTTTGSTGCAGGTGACGTCTGCTCAGTGCGTTG